TAACAAATGGCCAGTATTAAAAGAAACTCTGACTCACAGATAAAAAAAATCCAAGTAAAGTAAGACTTTTTTTTACAAATCATAAATGACATTGGCAAAATGTTGACAATGCCTGTATTGCTAAGGGTTTAGAGAAAGAAGTATTTTTTATACACAATTGGTAGATATTGAGTACAGCCTTTCCAGAGGGCAAGTTTTATCAATATTTAAAACATATACTACATTATAACTTATGAGGAGAGATATTTCCATTTTAATAATTAAAAACAAGGGTTGGCCCGTGGCTCACTAGGGAGAGTGCGGTGCTGATAACACCAAGGCCACGGGTTCAGATCCTATATTAGGGATGGCTGGTTGGCTCACTGGCTGAGCGTGGTGCTGACAACACCAAGCCAAGGGTTGAGATCCCCTTACTGGTCATCTTTTTTTTTTTTTTTTAAAGGGAAAAAAAGAAAGAAATCCAGTTTTGTGTTCAAGTTCATCATCCCTCGTGTGCCATGTTCTAAATTGTCAAGTTGTACCCTTGTCAACATGCTTTCTGGCCTTGTCTTCAGTAAACTGTTCTCCTAATTCTTCCCTAATCTCTCTGATCAGCCCCTGCAGTAAATACCTCTGCCACCCACTCTTTTCTTCCTTCTCCCAATAGGCATATCATTGAGAACTTTGATTTTAGTCCTGCTATTCTTCTCCCTCAACTCCCAGGTTTTACACTAAGATCATTCTTATAATTCCAGCTACCAGTCATATGCAGACTTTGAAGTCTACATCTACCCATTCACACACGTTTTCAAGTGTTCTCATTTTCCAGCAATATTGTATGGCTGCCAAATTAACAACACAATGCTGAGAAACAGCCAGAAATTTTTTAAAAACACTCCCAGGGAACTCAACATTTGCCATTCCTTACTAGTGTTTCTTAGATGGCTCTACCATCTAAGAAAGCTGTGGAAAGGACTGTGAGAGAGCTTACTCGATAGCCAAGAAGACAATTTGAAGGTTGCAGATTGTGAGCAAAGCAGAAATTTCCTCTCCTGTGAAAGAGAAGGCTGACAAGACAGAACACGGCTCTGAGGGCATATGAAAGATTATACAGAAATCAGAGTCACTTTTCATCAACCGCAGTCAGGGTTGGAGAGGAAGGCACTGATGGGTCTAAGCTTTTGAATACATAGACAGTCACCATTTATCCCACAAACATTCCTAAAAAGAGTCCAGAAAGACATAATTTCCCCCATTCACTACTATGGTGGCAACAAGCACTCTGGTTTTGAAGCCTGAAGGTGTCCTTACTGCCACTAGATAATATCCACTATCTTGGCAAGGTGAATGCTGACTGAATTACATTCCACAAGACAGATGAATGGAAAATTTTATGTTTTATATACTTTACCAAAATAAAAAAAGTTTTATCAAAAACAAAATACATGGGACTGGCTGGTTAGCTCTGTTGGTTAGAGTGTGGTGCTGATAACACCAAGATCCCTGTACCAGCCAGCCACCAAAAAAAATATATATATATATACACATATATATATATTACATGTGTAATACACACACACACACACACACACACACACACACACACACACACATGAGGAAACAATGAAAGCCACCATGGCCAAAGATGGCAGGGATGGCTCTTTGAAGGTCGAACACTGGGTGAGTCTCAGCAATTGGGAAAAATAATAAAAAATATTTCCTGAGCCTCTACTTTTGGCCAAGCAGAGTGCTCAGTATTTGTAAATACACTATGTCATCTAACTCTCACAGCAAAACCCATGAAGAGGGCGTTTTTATTCCTATTCTTTATGGGTGCAGATACCAGGGTTCAGAGAGGCACAAGTTTATCACAACACAAATATGAGATGAAACTGAGATTTGAGATGAGCTCTAACTCCACAGCCCATAGTTTTTCTACTACATGATTTATATGCAGTTTAGCCTAGACTCAGAGAGAGGACTGGGTAATTGTGCATTCCCCAATTCACAGAGCATCTCTTCTTTGGTGAATGTATTAAATGTAATCTTTCACCAATAGGTAATACTAACATCCTTCAGAATTAACCTCAAAATTCAGTTTCCTGAAGAAAAAAAAAGAGAAAGCAACCTTTGCAAATAGGACAAAACCACTCTAGAGAGTTTCCCAGCATTCCTATATGTTTTAATGAATGCACTGATAAAAAGTACCAATGAATATATGTACATATTAATGTTAAATTTATCTCTCTTCATTACATAGACAGTGCCTTGATACCATGAAATCTGTGCTAACATTTATAGACTACCTACTGCATACAAGGTCACAGTCTGAATACCATGCAAGAATACTTAAAGATTAGAATCCATATTCCTTGCCTCCAAGAGTTTGTAATTTTAGTATTAGAGGAAAGACAAACATGCAAAGGACACTAGAGAACAAAGGTGGCATACAAATGTGCAAATTAACTAACATAATGCAAACAACATTTACGTGCTAAGGAAATAAAGTAAAGAATTTATTTGCCCAGTGAAGTTACTGGAAGAAGAATATTTAGAACTGTGTTCAAGTAGTCAATAAATGATTATGAAGATAAGAAACACCAAGTAATCCTTGGATAATCAATAGAGACTTACTCTTAAGTTAATTTAAAAATAATAAGTTAGGGCCGGCCCGGTGGCGCACTGGAGAGTGCGCCGCTTGGGAGCGTGACAGTGCTCCCGTGGAGGGTTCGGATCCCATGTGGAGACCGGTTCCCGCTCACTGGCTGAGCGCGGTGCAGCCGTGACACCGAGGGTTGCGATCCCGTTGCCGGTCCCCGGTACGGGTGCGACACCGAGGGTTGCGATCCCGTTGCCGGTCCCCGGTACGGGTGCGACACCGAGGGTTGCGATCCCGTTACAGGTCAGCAAAAAAGACAAAAAGGAAAAAAAATAAAAATAAAAATAATAAGTTAAAGTGGTTATAATTTTATTTTAATTTTCTTACTAATGTGAATATCAATTTTCTTTTCTTGTTATCACTGTTTCTAACACCATCTTTGCTCAGTTTTTCTCAATCAGAGTTGGGAACTGGTTATACCAAGACAAAAACTAGCATCATGAATACAACCAAGCTCTAAACACATAAAAGCCACACCAACAAAGTCAAGGCCAGACAGGAGAGAGAAAATAAGGAAAAGTGAAGATAAATAATGTCCATTAATAAATAAAGGGGAAATATATTTTCTAAAACCCAGAGATCACGACTGAAGGCACAAGTTTCCCTCCATACAACTGGAGCTTTCAGGCAGGCAAAGCACAGAGATTGTCATTGTTGGTATTACATTCATGGTGATTTGTACTAGGAGTCATGTTCCTATTGTTTCAAATTAGATACAAACATGCAGTTCTTTGGTCCACATCAGGCACAAGTTTCCCTCCATACAACTGGAGCTTTCAGGCAGGCAAAGCACAGAGATTGTCATTGTTGGTATTACATTCATGGTGATTTGTTCTAGGAGTCATGTTCCTATTGTTTCAAATTAGATACAAACATGCAGTTCTTTGGTCCACATCAGACACTTTGATTGTTGTGCTGCTTATTGTTTAATTTCATACAATGGTAATAACCTCAGTCAATGCAGACGCAATCTCCTCCATGTGGGGGCACCTCTGTCACTCTCGAAGTACTCCCAGGCTGCTCTGAGATATGGAATCTTCACTCAATTTCTTGCCCCTCTCATTCTAATCCATTCAAAACTCCTCTGATAAAAACAGCAAACACCTGACCTCAGACACTTCAGTCCCACTTTGGGGAAATGAAATTGATTTTCTTCATTTGCACACAAGAGGATCCCTGGATACAATATTGTGTACAGTCACACCCATAATAAAAAAATGAAGGCAACATTCTTTACCGTACCAGAGGCTGAAAGGTTTTGTGGAGTCTCTGTGGTGGAGATAAGAATTCAGCCTTGTGCTATTAGACCATGAGTTTAACAAGTATAAAGGAGACTACTGACCAAGAGATTAAGTGTGTGGGACATTGCCATATGCTCCACATCAGCTACAATAAGAGTCATGGGTGAGGGTGGGGAGGGAAGTAGGTAAGGGGCCAGCTACACATTTTTCCTGGTTTACACCTACCACATTCCTTCCTTTTTCTTCCTGCCACACTTGACTAAATGAACCAATCACTTTCTGCCTTTGATCTTTTGAATTTGAAGTAAAGAATATCTGAGGGCAATTTCCAGCAGTAAAACTACAACAGAAAAAAACAACAGTACTTCAGGGCCCTTTAGCCAAACCTTTCCTAACTCCCAAATTCATTAATTCATACAGGTTTTACAAAATTTCAGAAAGTTTGCACAAGGGTGTGTACTGTACATAAAAAAAGAATATGAAATATTAGAACAGTAGCTGTTCAATACTTCTTTAAAACAATCTTACCTGGGGCTACAATACATGACAACAGTAAAAACTGAGGTGCTCTGGTTGAAGGGAGGGTGTTAGCCTGGAGCTCCACTATCTAAGCCTCTCTTGCCCCAAACCAAACCCCACTTGAAACACCTGTCAAACCCCATTTGATCACCACTGACCTAGAGAAAGAACATAGATATCCAGAACATGTACACTGGAATTAGAAAGTCTCCTCCTGGCCCTGGACACTGCCAGAGAAGCCTCCAGAAATATCTCTCATGGCTTTCATGGAAAGAAGGCACCCCCTAACAAGAATTCTGCTTTCAATGTATAGCATGGAGTTTAAAAAGCATTATCACTTCTCGAATGTTCCCTGTCCCTTCCTATTCATTCACATTTCTACTACATAAATAAGGTACAAAGCATTTGGGATAAACAATACTATAACACACTCTAAATATGAAGACACATAATTTTCCCTAAGTTTTTTTACTGGGCATGTATCTAGTAGTTGATACCCTGAAAAACTCTTCTTCCATGAGATAGAAAAATGCAGTCTGCTTCTCAAAATCCAAACCTACTTATATAAAAACCAAAATCATTTATTAACCTTGAGAACTAACCTGCAGACACGGGCTGGAAAATATAACTTTTGCCAAGAACGACACAGATATTGTGAATGATCTATCACTCTGATCCAATCAAGTTCGTCCATTGATACTTCAATGAAGTATGAATAAGATCTGTGAATCAAAAGGAAAGAGGCAGAAACATTACCAGATTAAAATAATAATACAAATCTACACACTTTAATAAAACATTTAAAGGTACAAAAACCACAGAATTCACTAATTACATTTTCTGCATAACAAATACTGATAATAATGAAAGCTGTATATACCCCACTGTGGATCAAAATTCTCTCTCAGCTTGTCTGCCTGAATGTCAAATCATAAACTGCTTAAGAACAAGGACTATAACCATATCTATCTTCATATCCCCAGGGATATGAAGCACAGTGCTTGGCACATATCAGGCTTGCAAGACATTTGTTCCTTTTCAAATATGGCTAGGATGCCTTGTCCATACCGTATTAGCAGATTCATAAACAGAAAATAGGGATGCAGGAGGTATGCCTTCTTCCTCTCCCTCCCCTGGCCTGGGTGCCCAGCCCTCCCCTATTTGGAGGAAAGCCAGTTTGGAAGGGCTCCCCACAGAGGCCAGCTTATCTCCTACTGCCTCCCAGTCTCCTGCCATCCCACACATACAAGCAGCCTGCAGAAAATAAATGGCATGGGTGAAGAGATAATGTGTTTTTCTTCTGGGTACAACTTAAAACTTGCCAGCTAATAATCTGGCAGTAATGAAACTAGCCTATCATCCTCCCCTAGTCAGCTTCCCCAGACCATTACATGCTGGTCCTATACCAAACAAATCTATATTCCTCTGTCATAAGCCAAATTTAAATTTGAGATGCAGTTATTACTTGTACTGTAATATCAACATGAACAATCTTGGAAGATTTAGGTGACCATAAATGTCAGCCTGCAACCCACAGCTGTAACCAGAAAAGGTCAGCTTATTTTGTGTCGTCCCCTCATTTTCTGCTATCCTCTCACTCCCATTCATTTTATCGCTCAGTTTCAAAACTGGTTATAACCTTTTATTGAACCTCTCTGGGTTATCAGTAATGCAGGATATAATTTTATAACATGTCAAAATCTTTTTGGCTTACGATTCTGAATTATTCACCTTTGCTTAGAATGATAACAATTTCTGTGAGAAAATAATAGTCATATGGTAAAGTTAAGTCCCCCATGAATGTAACACAAATACTAAAACAAAGTGGCCTATAAATATTTAACATCATGGAAATGCTAATAACTACTTCCACTTTCAAACATACTAACCTTTTCTTTTATTATTTTTATACCAATTTCATTATTAATTAAATGAGTGAAACATGTAAAGCTTTTAGAACAGTGCCTACTATAGAAAAGTAATGAAAGTGCTATATAAGTAGCATTATTATACAGTTTTTATTAATCACAGACTTGGAAATGAGACACATGAATTAGCCCCACTTTGCCAATTAAACATCAAATTATATCAACAAGATATATATCAAGAAATATACACTTAATAAAAAAGAAACAGGGAGAGATAATCTGGGGTTTCAAACACCCAGATACATAGGAAATGCTGATATTCATTTCACAAAGCATCCCTCATACTTGGCTCAAATGGCATAAAAGGCCAGGGTGGTGGCCAGTGGTGGCAACAAGATAAATGCATTACCTTGCAAGGTCTGCAGGGCATTAACACTATTCCTACTAAGCCCTTCATACATACAACTAAAGAGGCATGAGCAGGGCTTAGTTTCTGGGTACATAGGGTTTAGGTTAATGATAAGCAGCAAAGAGAGAGAGAATTCAGTTTTGGTCACCCATACTGCTCTGGTAATTTCTGCCATCACGAATGAACCCTAGAACTCACAGTGGGTGAAAGTATCACAATGGCTGGAAGGAAGGCAGAATCCTGAAGCTGCTAAGAAACTGGGTGGGCTTCCAGGCTGAAGCCCACCAAAGTTTTTTCACAAATTTATTTTATTTTGAGAATAATATTTATCCACACATTAAAAGACATTTTTTCTTCATCCATAGAATAAAATGCATTTAAAGAGTTACAATATCCAAAAGTAAGGAATCAAGTAACTAAATAATTTTAACCTATATAATGGAATACCAGACAACTGTTAAAAGGAATTTTTTGGGGGGGAGGTTGGCCAGTATGGGAATCTGAACCCATGACCTTGGTGTTATAAGGCTGCACTCTAACCACTTGAGCTAACCAGCCAGCCATAGAGGAATATTTTTGAAAGAGTAGAACGTTCACAATGTATTAATTAAAAAGTAAAGTTAGCTTTTTGTACATCTAATCTTTATTTTGTAAAACTGCGTTTGCGCAGGTTTCTGGTGTGTATATGAGTGTGTGTGTGTTTATGCATAATAAAAAATATTAGTTATATACACACAAAGATTAACAATGGATGGTGAGATTACTAGCAGTTTTTATTTTTTTCTATGTGCTAGCCTGTATTTTCTACGTTTTCCACAATAAATATATATTCATCACTTTTAGAAGCAGAAAAAAAAAATGTTATTTTTTTAAAGCCTTCTAACTATTCCCTGGAAACTAACCTTCAAAAGAAATAACAGAGTGATAACAAAAAAATAAATCATCAAAATCTATAAAACCAAAGTAGATGGCCACAAAGTTAGGTCATCTCAACCAAACATAATGTCAGCTTCTAAGTCAAGCTAAGGACTCACCGGCTATCCCTGTCCCACAGGAGTATCCGTATGTGATTGATAATGGACGGCTGACCTAGCTTAATCTCGATGCCTGAACGGCAGTCATCATCAATGGGGTGTCTAGAAAATCCATGATCCAAATCATAATTTTGAGTATCACCATCTAATAAGGCAGACTTCAGCTCCCCTTTTACAACCTGGGCTCCATACTTCATAGTTGCAATGTTTTCTTCAGGTACTACAGTTAAAATTAGAAAAAGCAAAGTTAATGGTTACTTATTATATTATTCTATATTTTAGGGGGGAAAAGATAAAACTCTAGCATTCTACTTGATTTTAGTATCTGCATTTAATTTTAAAATGACATAGGCAAATCTATGGGGATAGAAGATATGGAATGTTGAGGATTAAGACACCATCCAGAGTTTAAATTTAGTATCACCATCACAGCTGCAAAGTTCCTGGAACTAATGTTATTAAGAAAAAGTTAATAATGCTACAAAAAGCATGTACAAACAAACCTGCTCTACTAAGTTCATTCTATTAGTATCTTTAATTTAATATCTACTGGTCAAAAACAGCATGTAACATGACCTGTACCTGCTATCTAGACTGAGGATAATGTATAAAAGCAAAGCAAATAAGTCAGACACCTGATAAAACAACAGCAAGAAGAAAGGTTCCAATATAGTATAGCTGTTAGTTATGCACAGACGTGCTGAATCAATTAATCTAGGTGAAAAATACAGAAAAGATTATGTTTGAAAGAAGATATATTTTTACTTCACTTGAAAATTTTTAAAAATGAAAATTCTGGCAGTCTGTTATCAAAGTCAGTATTACGGTTATTATTAAATCCCCTCCCCTTTCTAATATTAGATTTATTAAGTACCAACTATGCCTAGTAATCTGAAGTCCTCTATGCAAATTATGCTTCACAGATCTGGTATCTGTCCTCCAGGTACTAACACTCTAAAACTGACACTCACCATAGAGAAACAAAAGGCTACACAAAGATGTTGAGAGCTTGGAGAGCCAGAGTTTAAATAGTGGCTCCTCCTTCAACCAGGTGTATCATTTTGGGGAAGTCATCCAAACTTCAATTTCTCAACAGGGCAATATCTACCCACCAGGTATTTTTCGTTTGTTTATTTGTTTTAAGGATTAAGTGAAAATGACATTTATAGAGTACACAGTAAACTCTAAAAATAATATAGCAACTGCTATTATGAAACATATATTTTAAATAACACAATAAGAAAACTATGCAAATTTATAGACTGTAAATAAATACTGAATTCTCACAGTACAATTGGGCATCCCTGACCTGAAAATCCAAAATCCTCCAAAATCTGAAACTTTCTGAGCACCCACATGATGCCACAAATGGAAAACTCCACACCTGACATTATTTTTTCACTGTATTAATTGTATGTCATTTTTTACTGTGGTACCTATGTGTGAATAAGGGTAAAAAAATGATTGCTTATCTGTAACATATAAATTCAGAGTCAGGAATCATGCTTATGCAGAACAAGCACAGACTGTCCACAAAGGTGGCCGAGTTAGTAACACCTTTGCTTTCTGATGGTTCAATGTACAGAAACGTCATTTCATGAACAAAATTATTTAAAATATTATATAAAATTACTTCCAGGCTATATGTATAAGGTGTATGTGAAACAAATGAATTTCGTGTTTAAAATTGGGCCCCATCCCCAAGATATCTCATTATTTATATACAACTATTCCAAAATCTGAAAAAATCCAAAACAATTCTGGTTCCAAGCATTTCAAATAAGTACACATATATCTTGGGCGTGTGACGTGAATAGAGAAAAGTGTGAGCTATAATCGGGCTCCTAGGGAAAAAACTAAGTAATTCATCATTGTGGATTTCTTGGAAAAATGGTTTTAAAGAAAAATTTCAAATGAAGACAAATAAAGGGAGTGGCTCCCGAAGAGGACAATAAATGCACTTGAAAATGGAGGTTGTGGTGAGATTTAATTAACTAGCAAAAGACTGAGGCAATTCGCAAAAACAAAACAACCCTAGTCATGCTCAACTTCCTACCACCAGAAGCTCAAGTGCTATAGATTTATAACTTTCTAAGTTCTATTAGCCTGTAATAATCATTCACATTCTTCCTACTTATTTAACAAACCTCGCATAACACGTACTGTGTGCTAGACACAGCTCTAAGTACTTTACAAATATTAATTCCTTTAATTTATTCCTCATAATAATCCTTTGAGTACAGTACCACTATTACATCTATTTCACAGATGAGAGGAGGAAGTAAAGAAAAGTTAGATGAACTTACTTGCCCGAGGTCGCACAGCCAGCAAGTAGCAGGGCTGAGATTAAAACCCAAGCAATCTGTCTCCAAGGGCCCTGTTTTTAACACTGCCACTTTCCACATGAAGGGTTTCTGAGGGGATGACCATACCTTTCCTCTCTTTCTAACTCCTCCTGCCCTCTAACACTCAGAGAGAAGAAACAGATAGTCTGATATAGTAAAAGAAAATGCCGGGCTTAAAGTGGAAAAACCTAAGTTTCGGACTCAGGCTCTATCACTCAATACCCCTGAGTGAGGCCTCTTTAGTAGCTTTGAATTTGTTTTCTTATCTAAAGATAATAATACTTTGCCCAATCCACCTCACAGGGTTACTGTAAAACTTACACTACAAATAATATATGGTAAAATACTGTATAAAGCATTCATTCAGTCTAAAAGCATTCACTGAGGAATCATTCTGTGCCAGGTACCATGTGCGGCATTGGGAGTAACTTAGTGAACTAGACAGACAGGCCTGCCTTCGTGACACCTCCATCCAGAGATGAAGCGCTTATGAGCAAGCAAGCAAACGAAAGCTTCAAATCTGTGCTTTTCAGATATCTATGATGCATAACTACTTGGCAAAATGAAACATTTTTTCCCTTCTTGCTAGGAATAAAGTGTGGAGGTGCAGAATCAGTTGCTGCTGACCACCAGAAACTTCTCCTCCAGTTCTGACACCAGGAGTGAAGACTAAGCCAAAGAGAACATCAAGCTTTCAGATTTAGAAACTGATGCCATGCTCTGATTTCCTCTAAGCTTCTTCAGCACTAAAATTTATCAAGCTAGGAATAACACACTAGGCACATGAGTTTCAAGTAACTGTAACTTAAGTCCAAAATGGAAATGAAATTTGAACCACAAATCTAAGTCTTCTTTGAAGTTTATTTCAAGAGTACTTCAGAACTTTTCTAACCTTTTTCCTGATATAGATTCATTCCCTGAGAGTATCTTTCACTTCGACATTGAGAACATTTACACAAGTGAAAATTCTCTCACGATAACTATAATGTGATTACCTCACTGGATAAATACTCCAAGTTATTTTTCGCAAAATCTATAGTTAAGAGATTGGGACGTCATCAAGATGGTGGAATAGACAGTCCCCAGCATCACTCTCTCCCACAACCAATCAATTTATAATTATTAAAAAGCAAAAACTGCTAACCTGGGACTGCTAGAGCTTGGAGGAAGAGGAGGAGAGACCCACAGAGTTCATGAAGGCTGGAGAAGCTGCGGCAAGAGAAAGAAGGAACCACTCCAGCAGGCCGCCCCAGTGAGCACACAGAGCAGGAGCTGACAAAAGGTGCAGCTGTGCCCTTTGCATGAAGTTTCTTGGAGTCTGCAGGGGAGAAGAGGGCTTCGGCATGCACCATCCCAGCCCCTAGGCCAGTGAGACCACTGACAGGCTTTCCGTGGGCCCACATAGGAGCAAGAGGCCACAGCCAATCAAAAATAGGAGCTGCTCAGAGGCCAGTCATTGCAAGGGACTGGCGCATGGCCCGCCCCATGGTAAGTGTTTGGAGTGTGGGGTAAGGCTAGCCCACTGAGGTAACATTGGGGCACAGTGTGGGCAGCTGATCTGCCCTCTGACTGGCACAGGCCACTCAGTGGAGACTGGCCAGGAATATAGAACTGCAGGGGGTATAGTATGCTGGAAAGACTCTGTCCCAGGCCATACTTTGCAAACAACCCAGGTGTATTTGACCTCCCAAGACCCTGAAGTGATTAAAAGGTCAACAATTAAAAGCTGAGCTGCACAAAAAGTGTTCTATGGAGAATCAGCAGCAAAGCAGCAATTTAGTATGGAGAATCAGCAGCAATTTAGCCCAACCACAGGGCTCAAGTGCTGCTCCCCACAGGAATTTCTTCACTTTGGAATTAACCAGAGGACAAATTAGTTCCAGTGCAGAGTTTAAGTAGTAGTGGTAAATAACACAGAAATGAAAGAAAAAACAAAAATATATAAACCCTACAGATCAGAGACAAAGCTTTGATATTTATCAGTAAAGGTCTAACACCACCAAAGAACACATATGAAACCTAAAAGAGGAAGTAGTCTCCTCAAATGCCTAGGCATCAATGTAAAGACACAATAAAATTGAGAAAGAACAGAGAAATATGATGCCATCAAAGGAAACAAACCAAGCACCAGCTAACAGACCCAGAGGAACAGCAGATTTATGAAATGTCTGATAGAGAATTCAGAATAACTCTCTTAAGGATGTTCATGGAGCCACAAGAAAATACAGATAAAAAATTAAATATCTGTAAAACAATCAAGGAGCAGAATGAGAAACTTGTCAAAGGAATTCAGTCAATCAAAAAAAGCCAAATAGAAATTCTAGAAATAAGGAATATATTATCTGAACTGAAAAACTCGAGAGAAAGCTCCAACTACAGATTTAATCAAAATGAAGAAAGAATCAGTGAACTTGAAGATAAAATGTGAAATTACTGAATCAGAGGAGAAAAAGGAATAAGAAAAAATGAAACAGAAATACAGCAAATATGGGACTCCCTCAAGTGAAATAACCTCCGCATAATTGGCATACCCATAGGAGAAGAAAAAGAAAGAGACATAGAAAGCATATTCAAGGAAATAAGGGCTGAAAATTTCCCAAGTATGGAGAAAGATGACAGCATCCAGGCACAGGAAGCTCAGATGTTGCCAATGAAATTCAATCCAAGGAGAAATACACCAAGACACATCATTATCAAATTATCAAAACCCAAAGACAAAGAAAAGATACTGAAAGCAGCAAGAAAAAAGAAACACAAAACATTCAATGAGCCCCATATGTCTCCCAGTGGATTTCTCGGTAGAAATTCTACAGGCCAGAAGAGAATGGGATGATATATTCAGAGTGATGAAGGAAAAAGACTGTTGGCCAAGAAT